GGTTTTTATTGTAGATCTTGTCTGAGGGCTGGACCCAGTTTACGGGACTGTGGATGGAGAAAATCTTGCACCACCTGCATACTAAGCATTTTCAATGGCGCGACGACGCATCCCCGCACCCCCTTTTTAACATAGACAACTGTTCTGTCTAAGGCGGCGCAAGATTTCCGTCATTGGAACAAATTTGTTTCTGGAGGCTTTCAATGCCAACGTTGAAAAGGGGGTACGCGGATGAAAGAAATCTACGTTGTAAAAGCGGTGCAAATGTCCTCCATCCACAGTATTCCTAACCTTACTGTTGTTATAATTATGAATATTCTTATTATTATTCTTCTACTAGTACTACTATCATACTATCATTACTATTATTAGTATTACTATGCTAGTGTCACTAAAAACCATTGTTTTTGCAGGCTGGCGGCCTGAGCTCTTCGCAACGTCGCAATCGGTGCCTCCGGGGTGGTGACGGGAGGGTGCGGGCGCTCAATGAGCCATTCATAGTGTCCCCCTTAAGAACCCCCTACTTCCTAGCATCGCCCTTAAGAACCTCTAGGGTTTAGGGTTTGAGGTTTAGGATTTAAGGTCTGAGCTCCTAGTATCCCCCTTCGCCAGCCCTCTATGATACTCCCTTATATGATGCCCTAGAAAACCCCTTGTAAGAACTGTACACCCTAAACCCGAAACCCTAAATAAAGGGGTTATAGAACCCCCAATTTTACCTCCTCTAAGGACTTTTTCAATTTTGCTCAAATGGTACTAGGCGGGGGTCTGGGAGAGGGGCTTTGGGCAGGGCACGAGGGTCTGCCTTAGCGCTCACAGCACCTAGAATTCCAGAGAGATCTAAAAACTTTAGGGTTTAGGCTTTAGGGTTTAGGGTTTAACCCTAACCTCTAAACCCCTAAACCCTACACCCTTAAAGGTTTAGGATTTAAGGGTTTTGGGATTAGGGTTTAGGCTTGAGAGGTGTCGAGCTTGGCCTTGGCTTCCAGCCACGAGCATCTTGAGCACGCTGTTAGGGTTTAGGGTTTCCAGCCCTTTTAATGAATCTTATTGCAACATCCTGACTCTCGCCGCTGAATACCAGTGATCATCCCTATAAGCCCCACATAAACCCAGTCTCAATATTGTGCATGGTTTTCTTTGTCACTTGATTCTCGAATGTTAGTTCCTGCAGTGAAGTCTAAATCGTGAAGCCCAAGTCTAAATGGACCACGGCCCTCCAGACCTTGCTTGGCCAGGTTCAACATCTGCTGAAACAGCTCGTTGGCACCTAACGCAGGCTTTAGTAGCGTTGGGTAGTAAGGATCCTCCGTGCTCGTGGTCTACTGAAGTTTTTGACCTGTTGCACTTGGAGTTGCTGATTCGTTCAAAGAAAAGGCTGTACAGAAGAGGTGGAATAATAATCAAAGAGGCAGATATGCGAGAACCAACAACTTGCACAGCACAGTCTGCTGGCACCTTTGATGAAAAGATGCTGCAGATTATTCTTAACTATGTTTACAGTTCTTATATTATTGCTATTATTACTATTTTTGTTACTGTTGTTGTCATTATCGATATCATCATTGTGCTTCAACAACAGGCGCTGCAAAAGGAATGTCCATGGCTCCTTCGCTTGTAATCCTGAACAATTCCGACGTTGGAATCGGAGTCGCGGTGATCGACAGTATGCGGAGTGTTCTTGTGCTGCCTGGCTTTTGGAGACTTGTCTGCATGCTCGTGGAATTGCCTTACCTGAGTTGCTGCCTTGAATACTTGCAACCACATGCCTTCAACCCCCATTGAGTACCTGCACCGCTCCCATACCTAACATGGGTGCACGTAACTCCTGCAAGGCTCTGCCCTCTCTTCTCTCCTCTCCACGCTCCTGCGCACCTCTTCAAGATTTTGAACCCTCCTGCCATTTTGTTCAGCACCAAGAATGGCGCATGAACCCTCTCGACAGGTCGTCGCAACAAATCCTGTAAGGTTATGCGTCATTCAACTATTTTGGCATCCTATGCTCGTCCAACGCGAAACAAATGCAAGCTACACATGTTGCATATCAGGCGAACCTTTAGGCTTGTGCAAGAAGAGTATGTTAGTCGTGCCCAAGTCCCAATTGCATGCAACCAACCCCAGCACCTGCATCTGGCAGAAACTCGGGCGCATCGGACGATAGAGTAGATGCTGCAGCATCAGCAGTTGCCTAGCAGCATGGCGGTAGAAAGCATGCAAAGAACATGGCTCCCACTTTCTTTGTAGCAAGCTACGGACAGGAAAGCATGTAATGATGTGGATCTTTGGGTGTACATGCGTTCTGTTGCTTGCGCTGATGCAGTCAAATATTATGCGCCCGAGGCCAGTTCCAAGAATTTCAAGAAAACCAGACAGAGCTTTCTCTGAGGAAGCCAGAACGCATGCTAAGCCATTAAATTGTGGTTTCGGATCGTCAGAGCTTGCGTGTTTGTAGCGGGCGTCATTCCCTAGCTGAAGCCAAATGTTGCCATTTTTCTGCTGCTGAGAAGGCACGATAGTTTAGAGCCATTTTCTTTTCCATTATCCCTATAGAATCCCAATATTCTATAGTGAGTTCCATTTTCTTTTCCATTATCCCTATAGAATCAAGAACACCATTTCTAGAAGCACCGGGCAGCATCTCAGCTGAAGGATGCTCCGCGATTTCACTTGGGGGATTGTCAAAATTATGGTCCCTTTTTGAGTTCCCTAAATTAGGCCCCGTATTATAATAGGGACCCAAAAAGGGACCATAATTTTGACAGTTCCCCACTTGCAAGAGCAAGCCTTGAACTCCTCTGGCACGGAGAACGCAGGCAAATCCGGATCTGGTCCTCAGTGGAGCACTTCTTCGATCTTCCTTGGTAGAAGTACGAATTCTAGCTCCAAGACTTAAACCATGTCTTAGCGTAAAAGTCTGGTTCCTCTCCACGAATGATCCTCAGGTCTTGGGGTTTCGGGGCTTCTGGGTTCACAAGAAGGGTCTTGAGGATGTGCGCAAAAGATTCACGCCCAAAGGCTGCTCTTTTGGGGTGATGCCTTTTGAAACTTAGGTGAGGTCCAAACCCGATGAATTGTTTTTGTTACCTTGAAAATGCTGAGCACGGCGCGACGCCCTCCAGCATCACCATTGGCCTCAGGATCTTCAATTCGAACAACTTTTGCCCTCCGTCATTGAAAAGGTTCCCATGCAGCACAGCAAAATTCAAATCACCTCAGAACGTCCGAACGGTGAATCGACCACAATGGGAGTCAACTGCAGCAAGCTGCTTTTTTGTTGGGAACCGACGTGAGGCAGAGCTTGCTTTGAAGTGTGCTGCTTCAAGGTATTGAACAGTTGAAGTTCTGGCTGCTTTGAGTTGCAGGAGTTCGTTGCCCGCGCTGGCGCGTTCAGCCTGAGCGGCCCTTTTCCCTGCAGCATGTGCCATGAGCTCAAGCTACTGCAGCAGATGAAGCACAACGGAGGAGAAGCGGCCCACTTTGACCCACAGCTTGGAATATGGGCAAGTCGTCAGAACTAAGCTCGATCAACAACAAACCCACTTAAAGCTCATACTCCTCGCTATGCTTCACATGCTACTGTTTCCTGGGTAGGCACCACACGGCCAAACTGTACACAAACGCAGCCTTCTTCAGCCAGGCTTCTTTTAGAAGACCCCAAGCCCTATAGAGCCCAGACGCTACTTTGATTGAGGTCGGCCTACTCAACCTATCTCATCCTTGTTGCTCCCAATACCTGCTACACTAAACATCCTGACGTTCTTATTCCTGACCCCTACAAACCCTGAAAAGACACCCTGTAAGTCGAACAAAAATCCAAAAAAATCGCTTCCCTGAGCAACCAAGGTTACCTGCGGAGCTTGTAAGTTTGAGAAGTAAATAGCAAGGTACTTGTCGTAGGATGTATGCAAATGCCATGATACTGACCCCATTCTCAAGGCGGTGATAGCCGATTCCAGCACACGCATGATAAGTCTCATGAGCGGTGTTTTGGTTGACAACAATGCGTCCGCAACCTCGCTAAAAGGCACGACCGCAACGCATGAGATATTGGAAAGCCAGACGCTCCGTACAATGCGACTGCTCATCGTTGCCTAGAAACCCATTTAAAAAGAAAACAACAACATAAACCCGTTTTCATTTGCTCTAATTTACACCCTATTTTAACCCATATAAACCCTACATAGGAACCCATATAACCCCTGCATAAACCCCATAAAAGGTTAAAGAAATCCTATATAAACCCCTCTAACCCCCCTGTTTGAACGCATATAACCCCTATATGATTCCTTAGAGCCCCTACATAGACCCTATAAATGGCTCTGAGACCCGTAAAGACCCGTATGAGCCTACATAAGCCCTGTATAAACCCATATAAACCCATATAACCCCTACATAAACCCATAGAAATTTCTCTGAGACCGGGAAGTCAAGACCTGGCAGTGGAAGGCTGCTCTGCCTCAGGCTCGGGAAGGTCTTGTGGACGTGGCGGCCAGGCCACGCCCAAATCCTGGCAGGTTTAGGGTTTTAGGGGTTTAGGGGCTTTAGGGGTTGTAGGGTTTCGGGGTTGTAGGGGTTGTAGGGTTTCGGGGTTTTAGGGTTTGGAGTTAAGGGGTTTAGGGTTTAGGGTTCGGGGAGATTTGAGGAATCTATTGGAATTCGGACATGGCTTCGCATGTGTATCTGGTGGGTTGGCTTTTCGGGTAAAGGAAAGGTAGTCAGTTCATGTGAATTGACCATCTTGTCTGCAAAGATCTAGCAGCTTGGCGGTGCCATTTGTACTCTCCACGCTGTTTCTGAGGTTACAAATGTTCAGGATGACATTTCAACAGACTATGCTTTGCAATGGGTCTTGCAAAGCTGGTGGAGGGTTCCACGCGCAGGTTGCTTGTCATGACACAGCCAGAGGTGGTCCAAGAACCGCACTGACAAACAGAAGCCACATGTGACTGCTTTTAGCCGTGCTTGGACAGCGCTCAGCATCTTGCAACCGTCGCAGCTCCAAATAAGAACACCACCAAAGGGCCTCTAATCATACATAGACCCAGGATCCGGCTCGTTATCCTGATTTTCAGGCCCAAGCCCTATAAACCTCCTTACCCTTGGTTTGGGGTTTAAGGTTACAGGCGCCTCAAGGCTTGTCAGGGCTGTGCCGCCTTTCAGGTAGCGGAGGCCCACCTCAAATGGGCAGTCTCCAACTGACTTACTGCCAGGGAAGGGAATGCACATACTATACTGGGGTTAGGGCTTCGGGTTTAGGATGATAGGATTCTATACGGATTATTACAAGTTAGGGGCTCCTCCTCAAGCACCATTTAGCTCAGGAACTATCACAGCATGAAGAGGACAACAACAGATCCATTGCTAGATCGTTATAGGCTCCTATCCGGAGATACAGAAATCCTTCTTATGGAGCAAGTCTATCTAACTCCAATATCTCCAAGAGTCAACCAAGCACTATGCTCCCGGATGCCAAGGAAGCGTCCAGTGCAAAACAGCTCCGAACGAGCAGATTATCCGCTGTCGGCTTATCACACTGCATCAGCCTTAACAGCTCCCGCCCTGAGGAGAAGAGCCTGCACTTGTTTCTGAAGGCAACACCTCAAACGCTGAAAAGTGAGGTTCCCTTAGAGTGGGAGGACCACCTCGAAGGATCTTGGAGGGGGGGAAGAGTGGGCGCGGACGGGTGGGTGTCCAAAATAGGTACTGGCACCTTTTGATGGCGTGTTGTCGCCAGACCTCGCCCACCTCCTTGCGAAGTCAGGCTCCATTGTCTGTCGTCTCTGCCCTCACCTGCCACCTTTCTAACCCTCTTTTGGTCGTGTGGGTACCTGTTTCCTCAACCCCCCCGCCCTGCCGTAGGTACCGGACACAAGTAATTAGCAGTCGGAATAACTCCGACCCTGCAAACACTTTTTTGAGCGGGCGACTACAGGCAGTGCTAGTGGGGGTCCAACCTCAAGTGCTGCAAGCAAACCCCCATGCTCCACACCCCCACGGAAGCCCTCTTTCAGATCGGAGTGTCTGTTAGACTTCGAGTCCCCGAAACCCTACTACTACCACCAAGCGGAGAGTCCCCCGAAACAGGGAAAACAATGCAGCCCAGCGACAAGGTTCTCCAGCCCAGCCATAGCCTGGAGCTCTTGGGGCACACACGGGAGTTTCAACGGGGGGGGGGGGAGGGGGCAATAGTGACCCCAGGAATATGTAGGCGTTACACGGGGATTATGGGGGCCCTTCTGAGGGATTCTATATTATGGATCATTTTGAGAAATACCGATATGTCTGGTCAGACTGGCGTTTGAAATACGGTACACTTCTTTAGATGCCATGACCGGAAGACCTTGAAACCCAGGAAAAAAACCTTGATTATGTCTCCACACCAGGTGCAGGGTGTAAGATAGGGGTGTATATACTTGGAGCTACAGTCCCCCCCAAGTAGATAGAACTCACTCAACTGCCCAATATCACGATAAGATCCCCTACTTAAGGGGGACTATACACACGCAAGTGGAATCCTTCAGCGTGCCCTCTAAAACCTCTCCGAGCAAGTAAACCTTGGGCCTCCAAACATTCGATCCATGATATCCCAACAGCTTCTGCCCTAAACAACTGAACAGGGCCGGCTATGGCTGTGTCACTCTAAGGGCCTTCTTTATGTATGCACGGGATTTTATCGAGAAGACCTGCGCAAGAGTGCCTGCACACTCCACCTCAAAACAGGATCACACCCAGGCCTCCAGAAGCTTGCTGTCGCCAGCAATGGAGGCAACCTTGTCTGGTCCAAGTATCTGTCTACAAGTCAACAGCCCAAGCTTGCCATCCGAAGGGTCTTCAACACGGCTGCAATACTTCACCAATAAATTCATGCCATGGGCTTTGCAATTGCCAACTCAAACAAGGACTTACTATGCTTTCTGTGGTAGGAAGCGCCGCCCTCGAGACTCTCGGATGGATCCGGCGGATTGAGCATGTTAAGCCACGTATCCTGGGAGAGAGACAAGTAGGGTACCCCTAGTTTTAGGAAACTCCCGTGTAAATCCACATTCATTCCATTACCGACCGTGCTTCCTTCTTGTTCTTCAGTATGACTTCAGCATGACAAGAATTCCAGCAATGCTTCCGGAAAACTCCAACTCTTCTCCAAAGAAGGCTCTGATTTCGGCCCCTACACCCTAATCCCTAGGACTTATTTTATCCCTAAACCCTAGTCCCTAAACCCTCATCCCCAAATCCCTACTCCCCTCAACCCTAGGCCCAAATCCCTAATCCCCAAATCCCCAAATCCCTCAACCTGCCAGGGCATAGCCTCAGGCTTGGCGGCCACGTCTTCCCCGACGCTGGCGGCCAACTGGGCCCCCAATCGACCTTAGCTCAGAGAGGCAAAAGGTGGAACTTATTCCCCAAAAGGGTTGGGGTTCAGGGATTAGGGAGTGGGGTTTAGGGATTAGGGTTTAGGGATTGGGGTTTAGGGACTAAGGTTAAGGGATTTTACACTCTCCCAAACATACATGGAACCTAAACAATGGCCCTCTGTAGGCTCTAGGAAACTCATTAAAGGGGGCTATCTCAGGGAATATCTCGTATGATAGGGGTGATGAGGGAGTATACTAGGAGTTTAGCATATGGCTATGGCTAATTTGAGATCAAGATTTGGCATAATACCGCTAAAGCATCCCCAAGACTTCTAGGGCAAGGGATTTCTCCATAAACTATGGGCAGAAATTAGGGTATACGGGGGTCCTATGTTGTATGTCCCCATAATATACCGAACTATAGGGTGATGGATTTCAAGATTTGTTTCAGGTGGGAGCATGGAGGGGTTGGCATGTTTTCGGGCTGCATTTCTGCAAAGCTGAGTCCGTCAACCTTCAATCCCCAATCTTGAATACCCCAAACACCCTTTACACGCGAACCCAACATCTGCTCATACCATCTCATCCGACATGTTGGAGTAGGGGAGCCTACAGCAGCTACTTCCGGTACAGATTGCAATGCAGCCAGTGGGGCTGATCGCCTTCTTCCTGCGCTGGCGCTGCGCCTCGTACAGACTGAACAGCTCACGCTCATGATGCCATGTAGGCGGCTCTGAGAAGACAACAGCAAAACACCAAGCCCTGGTGTCGAGTCAGTTTTGTTTCCCCCACAGTCGCGCTCACAAGCATTTTCTAGACCAAGTTCACCATCATGATCCTGTCATCATCACGAACAACCCCGGCCTGGCTTTCTCTCTCCGCCTCTTCGCGCTCCCGGGCGCGCTGCAGCGCCAGCTGTGAGGCGCAAATGGCCTCGCTCTGTGTGGCACGCAGCAAGCAGTGAAGGAATGGATCATAGGAAACTCTGAAGGAATTACAGGAATCATCATGGGCATTCACTCGATGCATCTAAGTGATGCTCAATGCTTTGCCCTGCTCTCAATGTTTCTCCTTGCTTTCTCGAGTTCTTACAGGCAATCGCCAGGAAGCAGTTCAAGACCTGAACAAAATCTTTTCGGAGCTGCATCTGCGTTGTCCGTGGCGTCGTCGAGCATGTCTTCCACCTGGTGTGTTGGCTGGTGGCTGCTCTCAATCCCACCCCATGGAGATTAAGCAAGGCCTGTGTCAACAATTAACACGAATTCAGCCTTGGGTAGCATCGTGTGTCTAACAAGTTTGGCGACAATTGTTGATGGGCTGCGTTTTCCTCAACATCAGCTTATCCAGGTCCTAACCCGTGAAAGAAAAATACCTAAACCCCCAAAAGTATGTAAAATAGTAGAGCTTAACCCATAATAACAGCCAGGCCAGTATTTCACATACTTTGGGGGTCCAGGAAATATCTGAAGCGCCCGACCTGAGCCAGCTGCAGCTCAATCTGCGCATTGGCCACGTTCCAAGCCTCTTGGTCACAAGTCCAACAACTGCGTAAGCACCCTGGAAACCTTTGGAATCCTTTGGAATATTATCCAACACTGAAACGTCTCAAACTTTAGACTTGGGAGAGTCCAAATCACAGCCAGCTGATGGGCTCATCCATGCCTACAACATCGCGCACTCAAACATTGCCAGCGATTCTAGCTTTCTGCCGGTCGGCGTGTCGTTGTTAAGGGTGCAGAACACACCCGAGCTTATGACAAGCCTGAGCTTATGATCTCGGACGACCTTCTTGCTTGAAATTGGCCAGAGCAGCAGGCGAGAGAGTGCTAGGGTTTAGGCACGCCGCTCGAAACTTCGTGAACAGTCTATGAGCTTGGCAGTTGCCGGAGATCCCTCATCCCGGCAACAGAAACCCCAACAACATCCAAAAACCATGGATCAGAAGCTCTAGGGCTGAACCAGAACAGGTTTGTACTCCAAGATCATGTATGGCAAAGGGCGCCGACGAGCAGAAACCCTTGATATGAACCCAGCTTTGATAGCAACGCTCGCAATACACATGTCACTGTCAAACATGTCATCGTCATCATAACCTATGCTTGCCTCGCGTTGCTTCAACCGCTGATATCGCTGCTGCATTGCTGCGCAAAATCCGCGGCGGCGCTCGAGCTCGCGCTCGTAGGCGATGGCCTCAAATGGTGTTCGAACCTACAAGATATTGGAGGAAAAAAGGCGGGTTAGCGGAGGATCAGATGTGCTTACGTAGGGCTGATGAGGGCTGGCTGAAGTTTATTGCGATGGGACGTGTAGGCTAATTGAATTATCAGGCTTTGCAGCGTTGCGAAGGTTTCGGGCATCTCTCCTTGTTTCTGGCGTGCATGGAGGAAGGAATTCTGCGTTGGTAAGTCTTACCTAGAACTTATCTACATGCTTGGACAATCACTATCTTTAGCTGATTCTGATGTCCAACTCCAGACCCCATTCTAATCATCCAGAGTATCTGGAACTCCCGCCAAGGTCTAGGGTATACTTTGTGGGCATTGTTCTTCAGACGCTCGACTGCACACAAATGGTGACACAAATGGGCACTGCTTAAGTGGAATCATTGGCAGTCTTGTGTCCAAGCCTTTTCAGGCGCGATCACGGCCAGATTGGTTTGAAGGTTGTGCTGCGGTTGTAGCATCGGAAATGTTGGATGGCAGTTCTCCGCATAACGCTACCCGCACGATGTTGGGCTGTCCATATGAAACACCTTGAGATCAGGACCTCTCGCCAGAATCCTTGCGTTTTCTTCACATTTTTTTGAGCTGTGAGCACACACAAACTTACTGGTTCTTAGTAGGGAAAAAGGAATATGCTCCCTATATACTGCCCATATAATCTATTCCCATATTCCCTACGAACCCTCAACCCTAAATGGTAGTTTCCATTTTCATTTCCATTATCCCTATTCAAACCTATATTATACCCCTAGATTCCCTGGTTCCCTACTAAAAATCAATAAAACATCAAACTGTCCCATAGCCTGCCTCGGCCCTCAGCGTGTTGGCTTCTTCCTGCGGCAGCGGTTAGGGCACCAAATGCAAAACCATGGAACCATGTGAACTGACCGGGGGTTAGTGGGAATAGGGGAAGATGTTACATAGGGATACTAGAGGGAGTATATTCAAACATTCCCTGCTAAGAACTAGTAAGTGATGCATCCCAAGGTGAAACATGTCAGCAGCAGGTGGCTGCGGGCTTGAGGAACTGATGGGCAACCAAGACCGAACAAAGTTTGGAAGAACAGCCTTACCCTCTCCATATGCTTTCATAGCAGACTACGTACGTTTGAAAAGGTCGGCCTTGATTTGAGATACTGTAAACCCCGTAGGTCTGACATTTATCTTACGCTTGGCGACCTGTTGCAACTAGAAACTGCGTCGGCACCTGAGCCTCACATGAACCTCAGGGGTTAAAAAACGTTTGAGCAGTGGCCAGTGTAAGGCAAAATTTGGTAACTAGTGTGAGTCTGGGAATACTCCATCTCACTTGAGCCATAGTCTCACCCCTTAAAAAACCCTACAGTAGTCCCCTACATAATACACGCCCGACGGCAATGCTGATTTCTTGCCTTAATCTCCGCCATCGTCACGGATTCCATCAAGGAGCTGATGCTTCCCAACTCATGCTACTCCTACCTCACGGCACTACTCTATTATCATTGGTATATTGACTGCATTCCCACGCTTTGTGGAATCTGGACCCTAGGAGCTTGCACCCTTGGCCCCCGACACAACATCCGAAAGCCGACAGCCTGTACGCGGCTACTGCCAGCCGACCCAAGATGCCCAGTCCTTTAAAATCCGTGGAACCTTGCACTTGAGTCACGGCCACCCTGAGCCCCCTTTAAGGAGTTTAGACCCTAAACTCTAAACCCTTAATCCTAGATCCGAAACCCTAAACCCTATATAACGCCCTTTAAGGAGCTCAGTGACTACGGCCCCTGCCTCAAGCACCTTCAATGCTGCTGCTTCACGCCCAAGCCGGAGCTCGTGATCTGCCAAAGCTGTGATCCTGCAGCCAAGGATTCCAGAATTATACTATAATTATGCTATACTATATGTTATAGTTATACTACAATATGGAAGTATACTATAACCATACTAGATTTATGCTATAATTATACTATATTTATGCTATAATTATGCTACAATTCTACTATGCTGTACTGGAATATATGATAGTAGACTACTAATTCTACTCAGCATGACTTCCTTAAGAAGGTCATGCAATTTCTAGTGTTGGAAGCATGCCTGAGCTGTTGGTGGCTGAGGCTTTGGTTTCCAAACCCGTCTTTGCATTGGCCTGTACTGGCACTTTCATGGAAAGGCCTCCTATCCTGCAGAAACTGCCCTCAAACAGAATTTGCACAGCATCCTCTACCTGGTTCTTGGCTCGAGATTCAGAATTAACTGCAGGCAACCTTTATAGGTGTTTTCAGAATTATTTTGCAGACTCCACCTGTGAATTATTCAGTGATTACCATGATTTGATGGGCGATGCGAAATACCGGGCTACATCCCGAACTTCCGCCTCTACTAGGGTGCAGCACGGAAAGATTTGTGTAGTCCTGCAAAAACTGCCTGTTGAAACCAGGTTGCGGGACGAGCCTCTAAGAGAGTACCGAGTATGTAACTGTTGCTTCCAGCAGGATGCCAAATCCCCTGACCTACACCAACTTTCCGCACCCCTGTCTTGGCTGCACTTGCTGTAGTTTTTGGGGATGCATTTCTGCGCCCTTTTTTGACTGCATTTTGGCGCCATGTTTAGGGCTGCATTTCTGCGCCATTATCTTGGGCTGCATTGCAGCGGTGTTTAGTTAGCTGCACTTCTGCGCCATCACCTAAATTTGTGAGGTTTGGTGTCAGATAGGGCCTAATTATTGAGGGGACCGTTTTTATTACAGGGCTGGGACTGCTACATTCTGTGACGGGCCGCTACCGCGTGGATCCCTTGCTGCAAGCCCTTGCGTTTGAAGAGGTGCTGAACTCCAACTTTGCCAATGTCACAGTATGTCAGAGCCAAGCCACATCTCGGGCAGGTCGGACTTGCCGTCGCCTGCGTAAGCATGCTGCATCAGGTTTACGATTTGGAGCTGCAGCCAACATTGTGGGTGCTCAAGTCTTTGCTTTTGGAGGCCCCGATACCTTTTACCGAAATCGTCGACGACTCATTACTGACCTGATCTTATGGAGAGGAAATGATCTGCTTTGACTGGCCTAAGCTTCAGTTAGCAGACCGTTGATGGAGGAAATCACTCAACTAATGTAATTTGTAGGACTTAGCGTGGTGCAGGGCTGCCTCCATCAACAGAACACTTGCACACCAACAGAGCCAGGGCAAGCTGCATACCTTCATGGCAAGATTCCAAAATTGAGGGGACGTCGGCTAATGATCTTAGTTGCTGGAGGGTAAAGTTTACTGCCATCCATTCTCTCAGATCTGCTGGCAGTGTTGAGTTTTGATTGCTCTGTTGCCAGCCTGGCCATTCTACCATCAGCAAGGGTTTGACCTTCGTTCAAACAGTTGCAAGTGGCTGTCCCCTCCACTTCAACAGAAGCGAAGTGCGCCAAATATTTGCCAACCTTCAGGCATCCCAGGCTCATGATACGTCTCTACTCGAAAAGATGACATTTTTCGGCTGATAGTCCCCCTTAAGTGGATGAAATATGGCTTTGGGTATATTATAAAAAGATCCCCATTTACCCCATCTTCTATCTACTTACAAGGGACTTTAGCCGACAGCTGATCAAGCCCCCAGGCTTTGGAGTCGAGGTAATTATGGTTGGAAACTTCTCAGCATCAAAGCCGTGGTGGGCGGTAGGCTCTCAGGGGTTATAGGGTTTAGGGTTTTTCTAAATATATTTTGGGGCTTGAGTATAAAGATAATGGGAAAGAACATGAAAACTACTCCTGTCTTGAATTCCCCTTTCCGGTCGGCCTAGCGCCGCGGCCAAGTAGAAGTTGACCTCAGCAAAGTGTAATTAAGCTGATCAGTTCTGAAGCCCAAGAAGCAACGTCAGAAAGCTATAGTCTAAACTCCAAGTATCCCCCTTGATAGCCCCGAGTATAGGGTTTAGGGTTTAAAATCCTAGTCTCATAGAATCCCCCTTTAAGGAATTAAGATTCTGGACCCTATCACAACTGGTCACAAAAATCACACGACCGGTCCCCACCGCAACCAGAACACAACATAATGAGAATACTGTGACATGCAAAGGTTTTCGTGACATCCCAGGCCGTTTATTGTATCCTCGGGCGGGTTCTCTTCGTGTTGGAGAGCTCTTGGTGTCGTCTTTTGGAATGGTGCTCTTGGAATGGTGGTGTGGCAGGGCTCTTGGAATAGTGCTCTTGGAGGGGTGCTCTTGGAAGGCTCCCGATCATATCAGATCATTGGGTTATAACCCTAAAGCTTAAACCCTAAAACGCGTCAGAACAGTATAGGAGGCTTTTGCTTCCTTGCCCACAATGAAAATGTCGGAGTCCTTTCTGGTTCCTTAGACCTTGAGATTTTGCAATAGTCATAACTAAGTATAATGAATTGGCGCCGTGTGGTTCTTTGTAGACTCATCGTCGGGAATAATCGTAGCCAACTAGTCTGACTGGGCCTTGTCCCCTCATTCTTCGTATAAGTATAACCAGGTATTATCATTGCTGAATAGCATGATTTGGCCTTGCCTGGTTCCTTGTAGCCTGAACTTCGGGGAATGGTCATAGCTAAATATTATCATCTGGCATTCCTGGCTCCTGGTACCCTGAAGGTTGGGAATAATCATACCTATTTATTATCATTTGGCGTTTTCTCATTCCTTGCCATGCAAAACTTTAAATTTTGGGAATGATCATCGCAAAACATGTCGTTTTGGCCCCTTCTCGTTCCTTGTATCCTGAAATTTTGGGCTCGTCATAGCTACGTATTATGATTTGGCCCTCGGTGGGTTTTTCCCCACATTCGCTGTGGGGTTCAAATTGTCTTCCGTCGCGCAAACATTTTGGACGGCGCCCTAAATCGTGCAAAAATCGCGCTCTCGTTCGGACCATCCTCAAAAAATCGTCGTTTTATGACATGGTAATTGTTCGAAAGTTACTCGTTGTCCTTTTAATTACATTAGTCTTGCTATAGGGACCTCCTCCTGAATTTGATGCGCCCCGATTTTCTGAAAATCACGCTCCCGTGCCAAACATCCTCAAAATGCATGATTTTGTTTACTCAAAAATCGCGCTCCCGTGCGAGACAGTTGGATTTGTTTGCATTGTTTTGTTAAACGTTCAAAAATCGCGCACCCGCGCGGAGCACCCTTAAAAAAATTCGTGGTTTTCTAACGTCAAAGTGCTATAGGGACCTTCTCCCGAATTGGACGCGCCCCGATTTTCAAAAATCACGCTCCCGTGCGGGACATCCTTGAAATTCATGATTTTGTTTGCTCAAAAATCCCGCTCCCGTGCGAGACAGGTGGATTTTTTGCATTTTTTGATCCTTATAAATGCTCAAAAATGGCGCTCCCGTGCGGAGCATTCGGAAAATTTTGATGATGTTTACTCAACAATTGGGCTCCCGTGCGGAGCATTCTCACAATTCCGTCGACTTCTTCGTTCAAAATCGCCTTCTTGAGATCCCCCCACTTTTGGTGGGTGGGGGGATCAATAATGAAACGTTTCATTTTCAGGGTCCCGGACCCCTCGTGCTCTGAAGTCTTGCACTGCAATGTCTCGCGCTGCGGCAGTCATGGAGCCATCTAAACGTCTCCACTGCAGGCCCATTCTTTGGCACTTCCAAGTGATCATATCCAGCATGGCCATGCGGGAGGCAACAACGACAGACTTCACCCCGGTCCGCACGCCATGTGCTATCCACGGCTGGATGAACCCCTCCTTGCAGTTCTGCAAGACCACAGCAAGTCTTGACGCCGTAGCATTGGCGTTCTGACGCTCTTCGCCAGCTTGCTCCACCAGAGCTGCATATGTGTCCGCCTGCTGCTGTGTCATGGACAAAAATACGATCTCTTTGCACCGTGGTGGCAATGCCTCGAGCAAAATACTCTCATCGCGCTGAAGCACCAGATTTTGAATCTTTTGCTTGACTTCCCTTGTTGGTGCCAAGAGCTGCCCTGTAGTTTGAAATGTCGCAACTTTGTCTTCCATCTGTCCTCTGCCGATATGATGCCAGGTGCTATGAGATCAGTCAACGTTTGAAACTCAGCGAAGTTGTTCTGAATAGGCGTGTCCGTGAGGGCGATTCGGCGGGTTGTTTGCTCTGCAATCTGCTGCAAGCGCGCCAGCTGTTTTGTACACTTGTTTTTCAGAAGGTGAGCCTCGTCCAGTATCAGAACCTTTGCCCCTTCAAAATCTTCGGCTCCTGCAGGGAAAGCCTCTAGATCCTGAACCCTACGCCTTAACCCCAAGCCCAGTCCTTTTACCCCCTTAAATAAATAGAATATGGGGCATGTGGGGATCTTATTCTAATATACCAAAAGCCAGATGCTTCTCATTTTCGCTACCCGCAGCCCCTCAATCCCCCTAGCCCCTCCAGCCCTTCCAGACCCTCCCCAGCCCTTCCAGCCCCTCCACCCCCAGACCCTCCAGCCCTTCCAGCCCCTCAGTCCCTCCAGCCCAAGCTCCAGCCACGCGGTTTAGGGTTTAGGGTTTTGGGTGTAAGGGTTTACACGCTATCCCACATAACCGATAAAGCCTTACGGGGTTCTATACTCCTTATGGAACAGTATAAATATTGTGGACAACACGTTCCTGCCATATCGTACGTGACCACTTTCATCCAAGAAGCATCTGCGAACCATCGCACTGCTTCCCCGTGCCACTGCTCTGTGAGGGATTTGGGAGCAACAATCACTGTCCGGAGGTCGAAAGCACAGAACATGAAAAATGCTGCTGCCAAAGCCTGTATGGTTTTCCCTAAACCCATCGAATCTGCGACGATGCACCCGCAAGGAGATTGCGAGCAAATATGCCGCAGGATGAAAACAACACCATCCTGCTGATGCTGTTTCAGCTGCAGGTCGAGGCCGAGCCCAAGTTTCATCTTACGGAATCGCTCCACAACACGTTCATTGAAATAAGGCAAGCGCTCCGGCCTGTCAGGTTCATCTCGGGTTCGTTTAGCGCTGTGAAAATCGTCAGGGCGGTAATTAACCCGGTAACTGCTTAAATTCCATTTGCACGAATCATGGCCTGGGTTCCTGAGAGCGTCCGGGCTGCAAGGCAGTAGAAGAAGCACGAGCAGAAGACGGCATCGAACCTAGAGACGAGATTCCGGTCATGAACGAAGCTCTGGTTCATTTAAGCTTGCAACTGACTAGCAAAGTTCCATCATCCTCGCAAAGCAAGCAACCCTCCGCATCACCGGAGATGTCGCATTCTTCGTCACTTGCCAAGTCCCGAAATACCTCGCATCCTTCGTCACTGGCCACAGAACAGAGTTCCATCTCCATGCCCGCATCCATGGCAGAGAGCTGTGACAGAGTCCAAGTTGCATTCCCTTGGACTTCCCTTGGGCTTTACATACAGATTATGAGGGATTCTTAAGGGCATTGTAGCCCAATAATGGGTTCTATGCGGCTTATATAGGGGTTACAGAAGGGTAATTAAAACCCAGTTACGTATAACTGTAGCTATACCGTTGTAACCCAATCATACTTCGCCCGGAGACGTTAGGGGTCTTATTATAATTGGCTTCTGACTAGCATATATAGCTCTATATAAAGCCTGCATAGCCCTGAATTCAACCCTGTAGCTGGCGTGTAATTGTCCTGGCCGCCAAGTAATCCTTGCTGAAGCAAGTGATCTGAATACGGCGAAGACCATGATGCAAAATTGAGGCTTAAGGTTTCGGGAAGGGTTCAGGTTAGGGTTTAGGTTTAGGGTTTAGGGCTTAGGCCGGATCAGGTGAACACGACAAAGGAACAAAGTTGCAGCCTCAGAACCCTTTGCCAAGAACCTAAAACTCCGGTACACTTAATCCTACCTCCCGTAACCTGAGGCCCCAAAGCAGAAACCTTGGATCCGATGCCCACTATACATGGTACTCCACTACGGTAGGGGCACTCGGACTCCATAGGAATCCTGAAGGACGTCAGACCCTACTGCCCGTTGACGTCTCTATATCCCCTATATGCTTACTCCCTTAGGCCGAGAGGTCCAAGGCCTGAGGATGGGCTGCCACGACTTCTGCGAGGTCGGGCTCGTCCACGGCCACTGCAACTTTCAGGAACCGCAGCGGACATGCAAATTCCCGATTTTCTGAGTATCCTTCAGGAACCCCTCTGGGTATTTGAGGAGGTCAGATCAGAGTGGCATGTCTGCTGAGGGATTACCTTCATACAAGGAAACCAAATGCGAGAAGCTCGCTTACCGCGGGGATGATAGTCCCGCCTGCGGTACCTACTTGGCCACAAGCCCTCAAGCATGCCCGCCTAATAGCACCTATAATAGTGCCCTATATGATCCCCTCCTTAATCCACCTGTAGAGAGCTTGAAGAACAGCTCATTCTAAGTCGCAAAGAACTGCAAGCAGCTGTTTCGCTGACTTTCCAGTGGCTATGCGAACATAACCACAGATAGTGCGCGGCCAGCCTTGCAGTACGTACTACCTGTTTACATGGCAAAGTCACACTGCCCCGTATGTTAGGAAATGTCTCCAGGAAGGTTGCTGCTCCGCTCAAAACTCAGCTTGTCTGGAAGCGCAACGCCTAGCTGCTTTGCAGCTTCCGCGAGATCTGACCACAAGATGTTCTTTCCTCGGAGCTTCTTGGTGGCTGATCTGTGCAAGCCAATGAAGCAAGGAGGCGCACGCCTGACTGTCCATGACCTTCTTGATAAGGGCTTGGATCTTTTCCAGGGGAAGGTGGTGGCGCCCGCGCACGGGCTGGACGTCCTCCGCCTCTGCCTCCTCTATCTCCAGCTCTGACACTGGACTCTCTTCTTCCGCCTCACTTGAGCTGCTGCTGCTTGTGGA